AATATCGAGGGGTATATAAAAAAGGTCTTAAGGAACCAATAGAGCCAATTTTGTATTTTATTATAGTTTCTTAAAAAAAATCTGAAGACGATTAACGATTAACAGAATGATAATATTTAAGTTTAAGGAACGTTTTATAAGGGACCAATACAGTCCCGATCGGGAGTGTTATTAAGTTTTTTTTTAAACCCCAGATTTTAGAAATATTTTTTGAAAGCTAACATTATCCTTATCGTTTGTTGTAGGGTCAACTGAGCCATTAACGTTCATTCTTTCAGAACTTTTCCTAAGATTTGGAAAAAACGTCGATAATTAGGAAATTTTTATGAATTTTTTGAGGACCAAGTTTTTAAAAATATTTTTTAAACATTTTTGTTTGAAGGCCACCAGAGTTTTTAATGTGTATTTTGTTAAAAATATTTTTTAGGAATGGAGATTTGTAAGCCATTTTGATTTTTTTTTTTAATTTGGAATTGTGAATAGCCTTTAGCAACTTACTTGAGCTATTTTAAACATTTTGTTTGAAGGCCACCAGAGTTTTTAATGTGAATTTTGTTTAAAATATTTTTTAGAAATGGAGATTTGTAAGCCATTTTGATTTTTTTTTTTTAATTTGGAATTGTGAATAGCCTTTAGCAACTTACTTGAGCTTTTTAATTTCAAAATTCGATGCTCCGTAGATATTCAAATCTTTCGCCTTAACATTAATACCCGCACTGCCGCCTTCCAATATATTGAGATCACCTATGAACAGGGGTTCCATGGCGGGGACATTCAGCTCCTTGATGCCATCCTTGAGGTAGGGTCGCATGTCGTGAACGGTATTCTTAATACATTCGTTTATCTTTGGATCATTGCGAGAGCAAACTTTTATGTAGTCAGCTGCAGGGGAGAAAGGAATAAGCAATTAAATGAATTTTAAAAAAATTATTAATGAAAAAAAAAAAAAAACAAAAAAAAAAAACAAAAAAAATAATGCAATAAAATAAATTGAAAACCCAACAAACTAGTTGGTTATGATTTTTTTTTGCAAAGGAAGCTCACAGTGTCTGACATTGAAAAAAAGAGGCTTCGTTGTAATTTGCATAGATAATTTATTAGCGTATCTGGGAGTGGGAGGTCGGCTGATCGGTATCCCCCCGTTAATTATTTCAATTTCAAAACTTACGCATTGTTACCGCATACGTTGTTGTTGTCATTTGAGCAATGACCAGTAACAAGCCTACTGCTGCTAGCTGTGACTTCATCTTGTCTACGGAGCGGGCGTTTCGTGTGACTGCAATGAATAAAACGTTTGTAAAAGTAACAATTAAATTTTTTAATTATAAGAATTTGATTTTACATCGATAAATAAAAGTGTTTTTCTTTTTTTTTTCAACACCTTACACTTTAGAATGTGTTAATTTTTAAATGGACAAACAGCTGTAATCAAATCAAAGTCAGATTATTGTTATTATTTTTGTTTTTTTTTTTTTGTTTTTAGTTGTTAATGGGAAAACGAACGACTGACTGGATCAGGAATAAAATTTAATTACATTTTGTCTGAATTTTTAATGCAGTTGCTGTAAAATAATTTGATTGGATGTCTGCTGAAAATGCTTCCCAGTGTAATAAACGTGATTTGCATGTGAATTTCCCAACACTGGATTTAATTGTAAATTGAATTGAATTAGAATTTGATTTAGTAAATTTTTGATTTTGTGCCAATTTTAAGTTATTCACTTCCTTTCTAATTGAGGAGAGGCGTAAATTATTTAAATCGGATATTTAAATTGCAAATAGAGAAGTAATTCATGAAAAGAAATTTTGACGCATGATCGAAAACAAAAGACTTAAGAAACAAACTTTATTGGACCTTTCAATTTCAAATCAAATGTCTTCAAATTTATAGAATGTGTCTATCCCACAAATATTTCATAATTGAGTTAGGCACAGGTTAAAATAGTCTTCAGCTTGACATTTCCAGTAAAGTCGGATGACAAAATCAAAATCAAAAAAGAATCAGAATCAAAAATTCTGCAGATAAATAAATGTGTGGAGACGATTCAAGGGCGTCCGTCTATCGGTCTGTCAGTCTGGCCGGTGCGCACGTTAACTCTCGATGGGAGTATCAGATTTGATCAAAAACTTGGTATGTCGTAATATTATTATGAAACTTTGATCGAGTTCGGAGATTGGCAATATTGGTCCTCCCCCAAACGGTCAAAATGTTCACAGAAAATAATTACCTTATTGAACAAGAAAGGATCAACAAAATGTTGTGCAAACTTTGTATATACTACAATTTTAATCCGTGCTAGGTCAGATGAGAAAATGGATGATATCGACTCACTCCATCATGCACCTCCCTCACAAAGGGTTAAAATAGTTGAATAATAATAACTCTTATAAAATGTGAAATAAGAGTCCGATTGTTATTGCGAATCCTAATACTTATACAAACACAAGAACAGATAGAACGAACCACTCTTGTTAGGTTAGGTTAAAGGACGCGCGGTTACCATATGGCAACCGCTCCACTCGGAGACCAATAGGTCCATTGTTTTCATCCTAAAAGTGGTTGGTAGAAGAGGTGAAGATAAAAGATAAAGTTGTAGAATGTGATCTACGCTAATTGAAGGATTACTATAGGGTCAGTGTTAGAAAAAGAAGACAGGTCATGTGACACTAGTTCTCCCACTAGCCTGTGTCTCACATTAATGAGCGCTGGGCAGTGGCAGAGCAAGTGTTCGACTGTCTCAACTTCTTCTTCATCTTGACAGATCCCACAATAGTCAATGTCGTCGCTGTCCCATTTCGAGGTCATAGCCCTCACCTTACAATGACCTGTGATGATACCCACCACAAGTTTTAAATCAGGTTTTGACAATGACATCAGCGACCTTGCTCTCTTCTCTGAGAGTGTGAGCCAGATTCTTTTGGGGATGGTGCATCCAATTTCGTCCAGCCATTTTTTTTGGATTCTCTCAGAGTAATATCTGTGAATAACCTGTATAAAATGGCACAGTGGTGGCTTAACCGAGTTGTCTACTTCAATTGTAGTTGAGTCGGAACCTAGTCTGGCTGTCTGCAGTCTCATTACCTGGGATGTTATAATGGCCAAGAACCCAACAGAGCTTTATTTACAACCCAGTGTTTTCCAAGGCTTTCCTGCAGTTCAAAACTGCCCTAGACTTGATAGTAAAGGAACTTAAGACCTTCAGTTCCGCTTGACTATCGACATATATAGTCACCGGACCGCTGACCTCAATGCTCCTCGTTACCAGCAGGTCTATGGCCTTTTTGACCGCAAATATTTTCGCCTGAAATACGCTACAGATGTTTCCAAGCTTGTAGGATTCACGAACATTAAGGGTATCACAGAAGACACCAGCTCCCGTATCACACTCCATCTTTGAACCGTCGGTATAAACAGCTATGCCGCGGAAAGGTGGGTTGTTATGGGCCCAGGCGTCTCTATCAGGTATGTGTATGTCAGGTGGTTAAAAGCTTAATCGTGGTAAAATATAGTCACTTGCAAAGGCTATCCCTCCCACATTCCTTACACGCCTTAGAATCGCAGAATGTCCAAAGGGTTGACTGCGCCATTCGCTTAGTTCTCTGAGTCGAGGAGCACTCCTGAATGCCTGTTCCTCCACATATATGCTCAGCGGTCTTAGGCCCAGTAGAGTATCCAGTGCTGCTTGAGGCGTGCTCCTGAAGGCACCCGTTATTAGTAGGGATGCGGCTCTTTGAACTTTGTTAATAGGTCGTGAGTAGGTTGACTTCTTCAAAGAATGCCACCATACTAGAGATCCATAGGTTAGAATGGGGCGAACGATTGACTCATACACCCATTTAAAGATGTGTGGTTTGAGGCCCCAGCCTTTACCTATGGAGTTCTTACAGGAATAGAATGCGATCAAGCCTCTCTTAGCTCATTCCTCGGTGTTCCTCTTCCAACTTAATTGGCAGTCAAGAATAGTACCAACTTATTTGGCTTCTAGTGAGAGGTTTAAAGTGACTCCATCTAGTCTCGGTGATGTAAATGAAGGATATTTCACCACTCTTGTTAACTCATCAAGTCAAAATTTTGAATAATCATAAAACTCATAAAACGCGAAATAATATCTCTGATAAAATGTGAAATAAGTATCCGAATTTTTTGAAATTTCACACATCCAAATTTTTATACTCTGCACCATAATATGGAGGGAATATTTACTTTATCATTCCGTTTGTAACACCTCGATATATACATTTTAGACCCAAAGTACATCCATATATATATATATTCTTGATCAGCATAAAATTCTATGTCGACTTAGCAATGTCCGTCCGGCCGTGGAAACCACTCTAGCTTTCGAATGAAATGAAGCAGTTTAATAACATTTTACTAAGATATGAGTTCGGTCTACAGTACTTTTGGTATTGAAAATGGGCTAAACAGGTCCACGATTTAGTGTAGCCCCCATATAACTTTAAGATTTGTTTGCGTGTTTTATTCACAATTTTAACCCGAATTTGCTGTAAATTGTCAATATGTGTTCACACTATGTAAAAAATATCCTTGGTCAATATAGGTCTAAGTTTTGGTATACGTAGTCTTCATATAACCGTACCTCCCTACATGCGGTATTTTGGTGATTTGGGTCAAACTTTTTACCGGAAATGTTTCAAACTTGGAATTTGAAATTCATAATGGATACTACAGCCTATGACAAAAAAATGCTCATACAGGCCCAGATCTTCGTATAGTCCCGCGTGTTCCCGATACTCGTTATTTTGATGATTTTAGCGACATTATTCGAATTTGTATAAATTTCTTATTTGAAGTCCGTGACGGGTACTACAGCCTGTGACAGAAAATTGAAAATTCGTGTAGCCATCATATAACGGTATCTTTCTATATTCGGTATTTTGATTATTTTCGTATTTTTGAAGTTCCTAATGGGTACTTCTTTTTATGATAGAAAATTGCATATGCAGGTTCACGTCTACATATAGGCCCCAATATAAAAGTAACTTCCTAGTTTTACGATTTTAGCAATATTTTCCAACGGAATTTTTTGGAAATTTGCAAATTCTTTGCAAATGGTGGAGGATATGCAAAGTCTGGCCCGGCCGAATTATTACAACAGCATACCTTTGGCAGAGAAAAGTTTTTCCACCGAGAGCCAAAACTGCCAATTTACATTTTTTTATTAAAGATTTATCAAAGATGCATTCCATATTGAAAACTTTTCCTCCATGGAGTAGTTATGTCTATGAAACTGGAAAAATCAAACAGTGCCTTTTATAGTGTCCACCATAAAATGGAGTATATATTGGATTTGGCATTCTGTTCCCCGAAATATTCTCCGAAGACCACATAAAGTATAAATATTTATGAACAGCGTACAATTCTTGTCGATTTAATAACATAGCTGGCATTATATAAAATAGAGCTTTCGAGTTTTACAAAGACATGATATTATCGCTAGAATATTATTGAACTCAGACATTGACTATAGTATTTCGAAGGTTTCAGTACGAATTTCAAAGCAAATCCGTTGAAATCTTGATGTTCTCAGTGAGTAATTTGGCTTTAATGTAGGTCCTCTTGTAGGGTTATGCCAAAATCCCATAAGTTGGTTCCTCACGGAACATTTTGAAAGTTTTACTCCCAATTTCAATTCTCAGTGAGTAGTTTAATATCTTAAAAAAGAAATCCGAATGTAGATCTACTATTTGATACATAGCCCCCATACAACGGTACCTCTTGACATATGGTATTTTCAATGATTCGACCACAATTTCCTACGAAATCAGCGGAGAGATTGACTCCTTCTATAAAAAAAAAAAAAAAAAAAAAAAAAAAAAAAAAAAAAAAAACAGTATATAAAGGAAATTCCAAAATTATAAATTCTTTGTGCATAGAATTTTGAACCCTTTGAAAGTTGTGGATGAAAGATTTTAATAGCCAGCATTCAAAATGTGGTTATAGGGGTTGTACAAAAACGTAGACCATTTTCAATATCAACAAGCTAAAAAATATCAGTCGATTTTACCGAGAGATGATGTATACCCTAAGCTATTGTCCGTTTATTTGAATATACTTTGACATCCGCTATGAAAATCAAAATGTTGAGCCTTTATGGCGGAGATTCCGAGGTAGTTGACCAATATTGTCCATTTCTTTTCAGATACAAGTCTGATATAAATATTACTACATGCCAGATTTCGACAATATCCACTACTTTCACCATTTTATACAACAATTTAATTTTTGGAAAATTTGAAATGTGCGTGAGGTATGAGATATTGTGGACCGAGGTATTCCTCTTCATCTAACACTGATAAAAATATTGGTATGTGTGCAATATTACGAGAATAATTGTAAATAAAAATTTTAACTTTAGGAGGCACATCAGATCTCTGGCTGAGAGAAATATTTAGAAAATTTACGAAAGATATAAGTATTGAAAATTGTGATGCTTTTTGGGGTGAGGTAGAAGAAGGAGTTGGCCGATATCTATCATCTTCACACCGTATCTTGAAATGTTTAGAAATATTGAGATGTGCGAATTTTCAAGAGAATCGGATGTTCAGTCCACATTTTATAAGATATATAATTCTTCTAAATTTTTACCCTTTGTGTGGGAGGTACATTTTCACACCTGTCACAGCGCTGATACAACAATTGGGATTTGGTAAGTTTGCACAAAATTAAATGATCCTTTCTTGTTCTATGCGGTATAAAACTAGAAGAAATAAAAAAAAGAACAATACATTTATTGTGAAAATTTTGATCTTTTGTGGGTGAGGTATCAGAGGGAATGGATCGATATTGCCCATCTCCGAAATCGATCTAAGTCTCATTATAATGTTTCAATATACCAAGTTTGGATCAAATCGAAATGTATCGTGCGGACCAGCGAGCCAGCCAGATAGACAGACAGATAGACGGACTCCCCTAGATCTAATCCAAATGTTTTGAAACGAATTTGGTCTAAAGGGACCTAGGGTCTATAAGTTTCAGCGCCCGTTTTCCTTCAAATTTGAACACATCAACATTTCAGCCAATATTCACATATTCTTCACATTTCCGTCATACATATTAGCCCACCACTTCTTGTACATACTCCAAAAATTGTCAATATTTGGGATATTAATACTATTAATAATATGTGAAATCAGTGCCAGAGTCTCTCACCAAAGTCTCACTTCCCAATATTAGATTGAGTGTAAAGACGATCCACTCTTTTTGGTAACCTCCTCATAAACGGTAAACATTAAAAAAAATTGAAATCACATCAAATGCCTATATAGCCTTTGTCAAACGTTTCAGTCAAAATTGAATCAAGTATGAAAATGGAATATATCGGTCCACTACCTTCCCTACATACCGCAATATAAAGAAATTCTGCATTCAGAATAGAATACTGGCAATTTTTGAGTTGATTGAAAAATAATAAGTTAATGAAATAGATTAAAAAAATATTTTTTTTTTCTAAATTTGCAGTGTTTTTACAGGTTACAATTACAGACCAATCCACAAGAGATTAAATGTTAGGACAGGGACTATGCCTACATCTTTCAATTGCAATCGGATAATTTTATTCCTACTCGAATAAGAGGAAATCATTCTCGCTATTTTTTGAGTGACATTGGAAAATTTCGAGTAAAAACAAAAACTTCCATTTCGGAGATATGCTTGTCACTTCCTTTCAAAAGCACAAAATAAATGAAAGCTACACTTCTGACCTAACATTTATATTGATTTAGTAGACGTATATAGTCAAATATGGTATAATCTGCAAAATATATACACAGGAATTTTAAATTTTCAAATATTTATTTGGACTCCCATTAGCACGACAAATTTCGCAAAGTCTCGTGGTTTCAGTCAAAACCAGAAACCCTATGCGGCATTGTCAATGAGAAACATTATCGCAAATTGAAAAAATTAAAAAAAAACATTTTTAAAGTTTTTGCTGAAGAAAATTATGCTTTTGCTTACTCGAAACTTGTGGATCTTTTACGAAAATTACATTCAAGGACCACCTTATTAAGAATTGTGGATTAATTTTTTTTTTAAATTTTAATAGGAACATGTAGTTACATTTTTCATAGATTTTTTAAAAAATATTTTGAAGAATTAACAAGTCAAGAAATCTAGAAAATTTTCTGGTCAAAAAATCGTGGATTTTTAAAGAATATTTTAAGAGATTTTTTGTAACAATTGTTTTTTAAGAATATTTTTAGGAACTTTTGTCCAATAATGGCTTTTTTGAAATTTTCAAGGACCTGTATCTGAAAAAAATTTTAAAATTTTTAAATTATATTTTCAAGGACTGTTCGGGTTAAAGTTCACTTAAAATATATATTTATAACCATCCCTAATACTGTTATTAATTTCCATAACATCAGCGTTATAACTTTTAATTTCAAAATCCATATTCCAATCATTCATAAATTGTTTAGCAGCAACTTTAAAATCACAATACACACTAAGAAAGAGTCGCGGGATGCAAAAAAACATGTAATGTATAATTTATTTTTGATATCTGTATGTCCTTTTTTTGACAAATTAATTTTCAAATTCAAATTTTCAAAAATGCAGTTATGAGAAAAACTCTTTTATTTTATTTCACTAAATATTTTACGTATATTTGTGGTCGAATAGTTTTCTAAATAATTTTTTAAATTATTAAATTACAGTTAAATCCATATTTTTGTTTGCCTCATAGTTTTCTTTTTATTTAATTTATAAAATTAAAGTTTCTTCAGTTTCTTTACTATCACATCACTCACTTTTATTATTTAAAAAAAATAATATCCTTGAAGGTAATTTAAATGTTTTGCCAAAAAATATATATTTTTTTTTAATTTTGTTATCCTTGAGCCAAAAAAGTCGTTTTGTTTAATTTCTTATCAATTTAAAGTGGTTACTTGTCCGCTGAACAAAATCACATCGAAAGCCGAAATTTGTTGTCGAAACGTTAGAATAGAATACCGCAACGAACTGCAATTGAACGCAGAATTTTTTATCAATTTATAGAATTTTTCGTTCGTCGTTTGAGACGTGAATCGAAGTGCTCTCGGTCGTTTGTAGTTGTGCTGTAGCAGCTGCTGCTGCAGCTAAACAGTAGCGAATGTAGTGGTAGCAGCAACTTCAAACTAACATGATGTAGTTAGTGTACCCAGTTGGAAATTTTGGTTACGAACAAGTAATTTTTGGCATTCAAAGATTACAAATAATACCAAAAATATTCAAATATTTTTTCTTATTATTTGGCTCTTCAAATGTGGCTTTACCATTTATTGGTCTGTTCCAGTACTGCAAGAATGTAAAAGTTTTTACTACCATAACCGATTTTCGTTTTATGATATCGCAAAAAATTGCTAAAATAGCCAGTCTGCCTGGCTGGCTGGTGCGCACGATAACTCTCGCAGGAGTATCAAATTTGGCCCAAACTTGGTAAATCGTAAAATTATTATCTAACTAAGATCGAGTTCGGAGACGGACAATATTGGTCCACTCCTTTTGGTACCTCTCCCATAAAAGATCGAAATTTTCAAATTTCAGGATACCAAATTTTGACATTTCACCTCTATCGATTAAATCGAAATTGTACCAAATTTAGTACCATTTAGAACTTTTCATGCACATAAGTACAAATTTCAAAAACAGACTCCCTATTCCAATCCTATATTCCACCAGTAATGATAGTTTCAAATTTCAGGATTCCAGCTCCATCCGTTCCTCCAAATTCAATTGCTGCCAAATTTAGTACCGTTAAGTACTTTTCGTATACATGAGTACACACTTCCAAAATTTCCTCCTTACATCGACCCTACTCCTCAACCTTGATTTCCATTCCAGTAACCCACATTCCAAATAAAAGTTCTGGCTCTACTGGTTCGTCGAATACAAAGGGTACCATATTTGGGACTTCCATTCTAGTATGAATTTCCTAAAACCCAGTCTTATCTGACACCTTCGGACCAATAGTCACCCAAACACACTTCCAAAACTACCCCCTTACATCGACCCTATTCATTTTAGTACTTTTCATACATTTTTACACCCTACACCACATAGGATATTATGTCTTTGTGCATTTGTTTGTAACATGTCCGTCCGTCCATCCGTCTGTCTATATATTGCTATGAACAAAATGCAGGTCGCATTTTTTATCCGATTGAAATGAAATGTTCCAATCTATAGTTGTTTGGCCCAAGGACGAACCCTATTGAAATTGGAGATAATCGGGTCAGATTTAGATATAGCTCCCATATATCTTCAACCGATTTAGATTTAATTTTCTGCCGAATGGCCAATATCAGTCCAAATGATGTGAATTTTGGCACAACTGACCGAATTCAGTCAGAACCAAGTACATCAAATTTGGTGATAATCAGTTCAGATATAGCTTTAGCTCCCATTTATATGTTTCATCCGCTTTGATGTTAAAGTCCCTCAAATACGTAATATGCACTCCACAAGAATAACTTTTGGTACCAAATATCAGATACAAACCAGAAATACCTCCGTCAAATTTTATCAAGATCTGTTCAGATTTGGATATAGCTCCCATATATATCCTTAATCCGATTTCAGGTTTATTGTGCAAATAATGCCTAATATCAGCCCAAATGGACAGAATTTCGGCTCGTAGGTTTCCATTTTGTGAAAATCGGCTCCGATATATATTTTTATACCCTCCACCATAGCATGGAGGGTATATTAAGTTTGCCATCCCGTTTGTAACACGTCGAAATATACATTTTAGACCCCACACAGTATATTCTTCATCAGCATAAAATTCTATGTCGTTTTAGCGATGTGCGTCCGTCTGTGGAAATCACTCGAGCTTCCGAACGAAATGAAGTAGGTGGATAAAATTTTACTCAAATGTGTAGTATGTCTGCAGGACTTTTGGTATTGAAAATGGGTCATGTAGGTCATTTGGAGTCGATCCAAGTATGTCCGCTCATCCGCCTGTCTGGCTGGAGTGCACGATACCTCTCGAAGGGAGTATCCGATTTGATCCAAACTTGGTATATCGTAATATTATTGTCAAACTTACATTGAGACCGGAGATGGGTAATTTTGGTCCACTCCTTCTGATACCTTCATGTAGGTCCACGTTTTGGTATAGCCCCCATATAACGGTACCTCCCGATATTCGGTATTTTGGTAATTTATTTTATTTTATATTTGGTATTTTGATGATTTTGGCGGCATTATTCACCGGAATTTAATTTACTGCTTTAAGTTCGTAATGAATATTACAGCCTAAGACAGAAAATTGTCTGTGCAGGGCCATGTTTTCGCATAGACCCCATATAACGGTATCTCCCGATATGCGGTATTTTGATGATTTTAGCGACCTTAATCACCGAAATTTCGGATTAAATGTTTTTAATAGGCACTACAGCCTGTGACAGAAAATTTTCTATGCAGGTCCAGGACTTCGTATAGCCCCGATATAACGATACCTTCCGATATTCGATATTTTGATGATTTTAGCGAATTTTTCGGATTTTATTTATTTTTTTTTTTTTTTGAAAATTGCTAAATTCGTTCCAAATGGTGGAAGGTATTCAAAGTTCGGCCGTGCTGAACTTAAAGCTTCTTTACTTGTTAATTAAAGAGTTCTGCCGGTACGTCAAACACAAAGGATATCATACTTAGTACTTTCTAGTGTCATTCTATTACGAATTTCCCAAAACCCAGCCTTATCCGGCACCTTTGGATCAAGAGGAATCCTCAGCTAAAATTTCAAGATTCTAGCTTCCGCCTTTTCGTCTGGGCGTTAATGAATCATTAAGTCAGTCCGTCAATCATTCTACTCTTTTATTAATTTAGGTTGGTGGTAGGTACTTACTCTCTATGGCATGTCCATGTTAAAATAAGGGCCTTGGATATTGTTTTGTAAGTATTAACTAATTCCAAAATTCACTTAATAGCACCATTATTGGGTAAGGAGATTTTTTGCTGGGACCATATACTTTATTTAACTCCAGCGAATTCTTGACTTTTAATCTTCCATCATTCCATTTCCAATTGGGTAGCTAGAATTTGTTTCGTATGGATTTAAATGTTGTTGCTGTTGTTGTCTATGAAACTAAATGTTGTCAACGTTCGTTTTGTTTTGTTTTTGGTTTATGTTTTTTGTTTCTTTGTATGCTCGTGTGTATTAAGTTTTGAGAAAATCGTAAAGTCACCATTGATTAATTTTGAATAAAACAAAATCTGGTTAATTGAGATACACAGACATAACACCCAAGTTCAATTATTAAATCTGTTAGTTTTTGTTCTTAAAATTTATATTCGAACAATAAACATGAGTTCTTAAAAACTATAAAAGTCTTTCCAAAATAAACTTCTTCGAAAAGAATATAATAGAATAGCTGGAGAATGATTAGAAGGAATATGTCGGAATTATAATACAGATTTCACTTTTTTGTTTCTCCTATCGCAAAATTGTACCGGTCAGCTAGTCATACATGTAGTCAAAATTATATAGAATTACCTGTGTTTTGAATACCCTTTAAATAACAAAAGCCTACAGCTGCCAACCACATTGTAAGGAGGGGAACGATACAAACACACTCAACTATAAATATGGAGATCTATCGCGTGCCATTGTAATAATGCAAGCCATTAACATTTTACGTTTTTCTTTTTGATAAAATTAAACTGTACGAAACTTGGATTGTGTGCGTCGATGTTCATGATTTCCATAAAAAACAACAGCAACAACAATGGAATTCTAAAGAAAACCCTAACCACCACAAAAATTAATTTGTTGTCAAAGTTCAATACTAACGCCATATTTTGTGAGGCGAAACAAATTATTCTCAACAAAAGCATAATCTTGTGGGCCTAATTCGAAAATAGATTTTTAGAGGCGAGAAAATTAATTTTACCCTCAGTCATATGGCTACAGAGGGTATATATCGTTTGATACGAACAAAAGGTGTCTCATCAAAATAAAGGTTTTAGACCCTGGGTCTCGTTGGATCAAATCCGTTTCTGGTCATATATAATCGATCTAGAGGTGTCTGTCCGTCTGTCTCGAAATTTCGAAGGGAGTATCCGATTTGATCCAATCTTGGTGCATCGTAACATTATGGTCAAGCTTAAATCGAATTCGGAGATGGGCAACATCGCTACACTCCTTTCGGTACCACCCCCATAAAAGGTCAATATATTCATAGAAAATACTTTACATCATGGAACAAGGAACATCCAATTTTGTTCAAACTTCGGAAATAACAATATTTGTATTAGGGCTAGATCAGGTGCGAATATGGATAATGTCAGCCCACACCATCAAGTATCTTCTTATAAAAAATGAAATTTTTTTCCTGAAATTTTAGACATTTCTAAAAACACAAGATCGGGTGTGAAGATGGAATTTATCGGTCCATTCCTTCTGGTACATCCCCCACAAATGGTCAAAATTTTGAATATCCATGAAGCTCATAAAACGCGAAATTAACATCCGATTTCATTCAGTCTTGGTACATCTTAATATTTTCATAAACACAAGATCTGGTATGAAGAGGGATTACGTCGGACCATGCCTTCTGGTACCTCTCCCACAAAGGGTCAACGTTTTGAATAACCAAAACGATTATAAATTCCGAAATAAGCATCCGGTTCTCTTCATATTTCACAAATCACATTATTTCTACTAACACAATATCTGGTGTGAAGATGTGGCATATCGGTCCACTTCTTCTGGTACCTCCCCCACAAAGGGTCAACATTTTGAATACTCGTGAAGCTTATAGAACGTGAAATTAACATCCGATTCCATTCAGACTTTGTAAATCTCAAATATTTCCATTAACACAAGATCTGTTATTAAGATGGTAGATACCGTATCATTTCTTCTGGTACCTTCCCACCACGGGTCCAAATGTTGAATAATCATACCTCTTATAAAATGTGAAATAAGCAATAGATTTTCTTCCAATTTAGCACATCTCAATATTTCTAGTAACG